ATGTACACACACAAATTTATGTGATACATACATGTATAACATGTGTATACATGTGTATGCATGTGCGTGTATGTTTTTTTCCTCTCTGCTTAGTGCTTCTTCTCAGGGCAGAGGAGTTGGCTGTTCAGAAGACCCTCCCTCAGCAGACTCTGCCAAGATTATTGGTGACCACCTGGTGGGCAAATCATATATCACTCTCCCTCAATGGTGAATTAATAGAGACTCCTTGCCTTCCTTAAACATCTCTAGGCCCTCTCCCACTAGAATGTGCATCTAGCATCCAAATTACCTGACATGACTGTAAAAATAAATGACATTTATGTTGTGCTTTAAATTTTTGCAAAGCTCTTTCCATACAGTATATCATTTGAACCTCATTACAGCCCTATGAGGTGGGTAATGTTGGTATCATTTCCTGTAGGCTTAAAGGAGGCAATACCCAAGCTGATGTGGGCTGCTACTGCTACTGCAGCACCCCAAGCATCACATTCAGTCTATATCTGTGTCGCATGGTCTAGCAGGGAGACATAAGACTAGATACATCTAAATATAACACAAACTAGAATATGGTAAACACATAAGAAGATTATAAAAATGCTCTAAGATCAGAAGAGAGATGAATTTCAGCTAATGTGGTTAGAAAAGACTCCTTGGAGGAGGTGGCACATGAATTAGGCCTTGAAGGATGAGTAGAATGTCAACAAGATTAGGTGAGGAGGAAGGACACACCAGAAGCAGAGAACAGGATAAGCCAAGGCTAAGAAGCAGACAGCATGGTTGGCTGGAGTAGGACCCACAAAGAGGAGTATATTCAGGATATTGTAGGGTACCAAGTACTTTCCTAGGGCTGGAGTGAGCAGGACCCTTAACTTTACCCCAATTCCTCCTAACATAAATCAGTCAACAAATGTTTACTACTTTCTACCTTGTGCCAAGCAGGCTACACTGTGGGAGATTTAAAAAAAATGTATTAAGAAGACTGTATTCTTGCACTCATGGAGTTTGGAGGAGCTAAGAGAGATACACGTGTAGCTTGTATGTATTGGGGATGCTTGTCCCAATTTCTACTATCACTGATATGTTGGGCCCCCTAGAGTAAGGTTACATTTCCCCTTCAGAGTTCCAGGGGGACTCCAGAGGTGTTGGGGTATTTCTTCTATAATGAATTGGCTAAGACCCCATTCTGATGGGTCCTTCCCAATGTTATAAGTGCCAGTTTCAATTTGTATCCCCCTTATATGACTGATACCCTCCAGTGATAAGTACCCCAGAATCATTTAACCAATTAGCTTCTACAAAGGGATGTTTACCGAGAAGATATGGCAAGAACAGATGTTATAAAGCATTCTACCATCACCGCCACCCACCAGCATCTGAGGGGACACTCTCCCCTATACCACCTCAGTCCTTGGGGAGAGTGGACTCAGAATAAAGTCAGTTGTTATGAATATTCATCCCATCAAATTCACTTCCAAATGCAAAACAGTCAATGGACAAAGTTACTCCTGAAAACTGTGTCTCAGCTTCTATGTCCAATTTGCTGCTTGTTTGGGCCCCATAAGTCACTCTTTTTTTTTTTTTAATTTTTAGGCAATTGGTAGAAATTGAGAGGATGCCCATCCATTGGGGAATGACTGAGCAAGTTGTGGTATATGAATGTGATGGAATACTATTGTGCTATAAGAAATGATGAACAGGCTGACTTCAGAAAAACCTGGAAAGACTTGTATGGTCTGATGCTGAGTGAAGTGAGCAGAACCAAGAGAATGTTGTACACAATAACAGCCACGTTGTGTGATGACTAATATTGATAAACTTAACCCTTCCTGGCAATACAAGAATCTAAGACATCTCCAGAGGCCTTGTGATGGAAAATGCCATCCACATCCAAAGAAAGAACTATGGAAGTTGAATTGCTATTTTTTCTTCTCTTCTGTTGAGTTTTGTTTCCTCTTTCTGAGGGTTCCTCCTATTGGTTTTAATTTTTACTTACAACATCAGTAATGTGAAAATATGTTTAATATGAATGCAAACGTATAGCCTATATCAGATTGTGCACCGTCTTGGGGAGGGTGATGGGGAGGAAGGGGGAGAAAAATTTTAAACTCAAAAGCATATGGAAGTGATTATTGATAAATCAAAGTAAATTAATAATAATAAAAAAAATTTTTTAGGCAATTGGGGTTAAGTGACTTGCCCAGGTTCACACAGCTCGTAAATGTCAAGTGTTTAGTCTAAGGTCCAGATTTGAACTCAGGTTGTCCTGACTTCAGGGCCGGTGCTCTATCCACTGCACCACCTAGCTGCCCTCCCCAGGTTGCTCTTCAGATCCTTGCTGGTGCTTTTAATGGAACATTTAGTCCATTTGGACTTCCCACCCCCACAAAAATTATCCTTATTACTATCTCTAAACTTTGGAATCTTACAAGGATGCAGCCTAGTTTGATATTCTACCAACTCAAAAAAATAAGGAACAAGCAAAAAGAAGCAGAGAACAGAGGCCTGTATCCATCAACTGGCCTGGGTGGGAAAATAGGCAGCTGGGAGCAGGAGGCTGCTGCCCTCACTGCTGCTACCTCTCTCAACAACAGTGTCATGTTCTTTTGGCATCACGGCCACTTTGGGTGAGAAAAGGACTGAGGCTTCTGTACCACCTGGAGGAGGCCTGAAGCAGCTCATCCTCCCTGCTGACCAGAAAGGAAGTTCTCTGTTGCTGTTGCCCCAGTGGGAGTCTTTGAATGCAATCCACTCCTTGCTCAGTAGCCAATCAAAAGTCCATCTGTTCACCACTTGGTTAACAAATCTGAAATAGTCACAGCTGTGCATGCTCTGGAGTCCTCAGGGGGACTGCATTAGCAGGGGGACTACGTGTGCTCATATGGATTGGGCTCAGTGGCCAGTCCCCATTACACATGTGAAAAGATGAATAACAATGCCAGGCAGGGTGTGCTTAGGCCAAGTGACTTCAGAAGAAGGGAGAGGGATTTAGGTTGGACCTTAAAACTAAGTAAGATTTGTATAGGTAAGGTGGAGAGTGAGAGTGTTCAAGCCTGAAGTAATAATAATAATAATAACAACAAACATTTATATAGTGCCTACCATGTGCCAAATGCTTAACAAATATTATTTCATTTGATCTTCACAATAACCCTAGGAGATAGATGCTATTATGATCCCCCTTTTATAGATGAGAAAACTGAAGCAAAGGTTGTGACTTGTCCAAAGTCACACAGCTAGTAAGTGTCTGAGGCTGGATTTGAAATCAGATCTTCCTGACTCCAGGCCCAGCACCCCATCTACTATACCACATAGCTGCCTAAGAAGTCTTCAGCTGGGAAGGGGATATTGGGAGCAAAGTTATGGAGACCAGAAAAGTATAAGGTAAACTTGGAGGACAATGATTGGGACTCTCTGGGCAAAGCAGAAGGCTCATGTAGAGGAAGAATAAGAGGAAAAAGTGAGAAAAGTATGAGGTGAGGACTTTTTCTTTTCCCCACCCTCCCTATTCCTCCAGTTTCCTTAGGAAGCACACTGCCCTGCCCGACCCTACAGATGCCAAATACAGTCTTTAATAATTTGAACAATCATAAAAAGTTGACCTATGAAAGACTGGGAATACATTGGGGCATTTCATCCAGCCCCCAGACTTGTAGAAAGCTCTCCTTCCATGTCCGCTCAGGTGCTCAAAGAAAGGTAACGTTAGGTTTTGGAGTCACCATGTCTAAACCTGGTTTCTGTTGGTGACTGATATCAGTTTAGAGATAGCAATAAGGATAATTTTTGTGGGGGTGGGAAGTGGTCATTCATTAGTGTAGGGGAACTTCTACCCCCCAAACTCCCTCTACTAATTCAAATTGACAGCTGCTCTTCAATTTAGTCTTAGATTGTTGCTGAGGGCATTGAGAGGCTGTGACTTGTGCAGGGTCATAGAGCCAGTATGGTGGAGAGACAAGTCTTAAACCACAGCCTTCCTGATGCCTAGGCTGGATCTATTCATTATGACTCATTCATAATTCACATTTATCGTCTGCAAGGCAAGCAACAATTATTTGGCGAGAGGTAGGGGAGTTCCTGATTCTTCTGTCAGTCCTCTGTGAATAGATACTGTTAGGAACTTCACAACACACTGGAAATCTCCAGGCATCAACCTCCTTTTTGGGATATTGGGTTAGAGATTTGATACAGGAAGGGCTACCTCTCTGGCCAAGACAAGGAAACTGGAGTATTTCTTTCTGTAGTAATGGAACAATGCCCACAACAGAGAATGGTTTGGGGGCAGTTGTCAATTCTCCTGAAGTGCTTGTCATGTAACTACACTGTGCTGAAAGGCTGGAGAAGCTCTACTTTTGCTAACTCTGTGATCTTGGATAAATCACTTACATTCTCATTGTGAATTTCCTCATCTCTAAAATGAGAGTTATGAATGATGGCCTCCAAAGTCCTTCCTGGCTCTAAATCTATGTTCCTATGATAGCTTCTGAACAACAGTGATGTGTGACAATCATGACTACTTTTGGGAAGCTGTATAGAACTGTAGGACATGGGGCAGCTAGGTAGAACAGTGGATAGAACACCTACCATGAAGTCAGGAGGACCTGAATTCAAATCTGGCCTCAGCTACTTATTAGCTGTGTAACCCTGGACAAGTTACTTAACCCTGATTGCCTCAAAAAACTATAGGAGGCAGTGTTGTACAGTAGAAAAAACCTTAACTCAGAGAACCTGGGTTCATATCCTACCTCTGATATGACTTTGAGTAAGTCACTTAATTTCCTTTGATCTCAGTTTTTTCATCTGTAAATTGAGGGGGTTGGACTAAAGAGCTAAGGTCTATGACCCAAGGAAGAGGAACTCTCCTGGAGTCTTCTAAACCATCCCACTCCTTGCTCAGTAGCCTAGAGGCAATGCCCTACTTAGCCCAGGACTATAGGTGATTGAGGCCCTACACAGGCCTCTAGGGGTGGGATATTCATTGGAAGATGTCTTTATGTTCCATGAGCTTTGTTGTACATTCTATTTGCTTTCCTACAAAACGTTGACTTTCCTTTTTTTGAGCTTTGTGGGAAGTCAGTGACAACACATTAGGTGGGATCATATAGTATTTTCCAGATCATTGGCAGGGGAGAAGGGTGGGGGTGGGTCCTATGAATCAGAGAAGTGAGAATATTCCCAAAGTGTGCCTGGTCCCTTGTGAGAGGCTCTGACCCGAGAGTTAGATAAACTGAAGCTAGATTATAAAAGACTTTGAATGCCAAGCTGAGGATGCCAAATAAGAATTTGGACTTTATCTCATGGGCATGTGCCATTGGCAGTTCTCAAACAGAGGAGTGACATGACCAGAGTAGTCTTTTAGGGAGATAAATTTGGCAAGTGATGGTATACTAAAGGGGGCGCGAAAGGGTCAACAATCCCTTTAAACCACATCAAACCAACCAACAAATCGCTGCTCCTTATTGTCCTGGCTTTTGAGAATAGCAGAATATAAGAGCTAGAAAGGGCCTTAGAGATAACCTAGTCTGATCTTTTCATTTTACAGATGAATAGACTGAAGCTCAAAGAGGAGAAATGATCTTAGAATATAGACTTTTAGGCTATAAGAGCTGAGAACAGTCTTCGAGATCATCTTGTCTAATTTTCTTATTTTGTAGGAAAGAAATGTGAGGCCCACAGAAGCAAACTCACAGGCCAAAGGTCACACAGCAAGTGTGTGGTAGAGGGGGATTAGGTAGCCCTTATGCTTTAGGATTCAGCCACAGCTCTAATTTCAGACTCTGATTGTAGGAAACCCCCAAACCATGGTGGTGGCTACCATATGACCCCAGCACTGGGGGAGGGAAGGTATAAGGAAATCTTACAATGAAGGGGACTTGTCTTGTAGAAGTTAACAGGGTTGGAGGAAGTGCCACGAAAGCAGAAACCATTAGGGACCACAAGAAAAACCCATGAAGGACAAAGAGGGAGGAGTCCAACTACCTCATGGTTTTTAGACAGAAATAGACACCTCCATCTTCCCCAGTCTCCCACTAAAGAGGAAGAGTAACTCACAGCTTTAATGACATTGACTAATACCAATAGGAGCTTGTGAGGGCTTCTGGCTTACTTGTAGAGTAGGGGTAAGAATTGGGGAGGGAGGTGAGAAGACAGCAAATACCACCGGTGTTCTTTCTTATTTTCTTGGCCTTATTTTCTTGTAGGCAAGGGGGACCAAACAATGAGAATACTAATGAGAATAATTAGAATAATAACAGCTTTGCAGATTTACAAAGCAATTTGGACCCATGAGCTCATCTGATGCTCCCAACAACCTTGTGAGGTGCCTCAGTGAAAGTGTTCATGGTTATCCCCATTTGATAGGTGAGGAGACTAAGGCAACCTTCCCCAATCTCCCTTTGGTTCAGTTGGCCAGGCAGCCCTCTTTGGCTCTCTTTTAGATGATGGTTTGGAGGAAATCTTGTAGCAGATGCTGGGGGAATCCAAAGTCCATCTGGAGGACCAAGTAACCCTGAGGAAAAAAAAGGGAAATAGGTGATGGGGGTGGGGAATAGAGGTCATAAGATGAAAGATTTAGACCTGAAAGGAACCTCAACAATCATCTGGTCCATCTCTCTCATTTTATAGATGAGGAAACTGAGGCTCAGAGACCTAGAGTGACTTGCCCTTCGTATTGTATCAGAGGTGGGATTTGAGCCCAGGTCCTCTGACCCCAGAGCCAGTGCTCTTTCAGTTTTTGCCTAGGCCCTCCTGTCAATCCTCTATAGGTGCTCTCCCCCATGTCCTCCCCCCATAGGCTGGAAGTTTCCTGTAGATCTCAGAATCATAAAGGTGCCACAGATCCTTTGAGTATTGCCATACTGAAGTGAAGGGCAGGGCAATGTTCCCTTAATAGTTTGAACAAATTCCCAGGATGCTCAGAGTTTTCAGGAGAGCTATCCTTCTTTCCTCTACTCCTCACGAGGAAAAAATGTATAGCTTACTCCACAGACTACCAGGGAAGTACCCAAGTACTTCTCTGGGACCATCCTACCCTGGGACAGAGAAGTATAAAAAATCAGTGAGATGATGAATGTGATTAGAAGCTAAAAGGAATCTTCAAGGTCACCTGTGCCCACTCCCCTCTCTTCACTCCACCTCCATTTTACAGATGAAGTAAGAGAGGTCCAAGGAACTTGAGTGCCCTACCCAAGGTCATATGAGTAGTAAATCAGATCCCCTGGGCCTATGGGATTTAGGAAAGCACATGGAGACCTTGATCCCCATCTCTTTACTCACCTGTTTGGTGAGAACTTCCGGATTAATGATATCAAAGAGGTCTAGGCCTTTACTGTTCAACAGTGTTGTGAGTGCTGGCTCCAGCCCTAGGGAGAGAATAGGGAGGAATTCAATGTGGTGGGTCCTTGGGACCCTAGAATGCACAGCAACAGGACATCACATGGTAGATGAACACTAGTCCCATTGTACACAGAGGAAAAGCAAGATTTTGAGGGCTGAAGGAGCCCAGTCTAGGTGATACCATTCAGGAATAGGACTGACCTGGTTATCAGAGGGTTTCCTTCTCCAGTAGAAAACCCCTTCAGAGCCCTGAGATGTGTGCCTCCCTCATCAGAGGCTCCTTAACTACTCTGGCAATAAGTCATAGGGTCACAATCCTCAGCATCCATCCAGGCCAGGGGCGGGGAACTTGTGGCCTGGAGGCCACATGTGGCCCTCTAGTTCTCCAACTGTAGCCCTTTGATTGAATCCAAACTTCACAGAAGAAATCCCCTTAATAAAAGGATTTGTTTTCCAACTTCAAGTTTGGATTCAACTAAAGGGCCGCACTTGAGGACTTAGAGGGCCACTTGTGGCCTCCAGGCCACAGGCTCCCCACTCCTGATCTAGGCCAACTCCCTTATTTGTTCAGATGAGGAAACAGGAAACATGCCCAGGAAGGTTGAGTGATTTGACCAAGGTCACATAAATAATGAACATCAGGGTAGAAGAGGAGCCCAGGTGCTCCGACTCTACATCCTCGGCTCCTTCCCCATCCCAGGCAGCTTAGAGACTCTGCACTTCTTTCTCAACCTTTCTCTTTGGCCTGGGAGTGCAAACCCAACAAGCTCCTTCCAGTTCCTCCCTGCCCCCTGCGAGGACACTTACGGGAGATGATCACAGGCATGCCCACCATGGTTGTAAGGATCTTCAGGAAGTCCTGGATTGACTCTTGGCTCTGCCAAATGGAGAAATCACAAGTGAGAGAGTCCCAAGGTAGGGATAGAACTAATCCAGATGCATGGATCTTCCAAATTCCTAGGGAAGGAAGAAGGCCTGGGTGTACATACTTCTTCCTCACAATTTCTCATCAATCTGAATGGCTGCCAGTTTATTAAACCTTCAAGGGTCCTATTCATTTTTATCACCCAGCCCACTCATTCTCTTCCTTCCCCCTTAACTATTCCCCGTATAATAAAAGCAGCTGACACCTATACAGGGTGCAAAGTGCTTTGCATAAATTATCATTTGGTTTTCGCAAAAGTGCATACCATGAGTATTATTATGGAGTGATTTGCCCAGGGTCACACATTTGTTAAGTGTCAGAGATGAGATCTGAACCCAGGTCTTCTTAACAAGGTCCAGCATTCTTTCTATTAAGCCAGGCTGCCTCTCCTGTAACACCTGTCCTCTCCCCACCTTATCCTCCTCCCCCATTTGTGCAGGTGTTTTATACTTTTCAAAACACATTCAGAGTGATTCTTTCATTAACCCTTAGGTAGGGTTGAGGTTGATCCTTCCCCATCCCAGAAATGGAATGAATGAATGAATGAATGAAGTGACTTTGCCCAAGGTCAGACAGTAAGTTAGAATGGAACTGGAAGACAGCTCACATATCCTGTTCAACTGCCATTATACTAAGACATAGGCACTCTCCTCACAAATATGGATCATCATATTGAGTGATTCATTAATATAGGGCACAAAAAGAGGCAAAAAGCTAATTTCCTTTGGGCTCAATGCCTGGTTTCTTTCTCTAGGCCCTAGACATGAGGATACCTGCATGGCAGAGTTAAGCACTTTCTTTTTCTGTCTTCTTCCAGGGTCAACCTACCATAGATAATGTAGCAACAGAACGGAAAGATTTGTGCTGAATCCTGTGGAAACAGACAAGAGGGAAGTGTTGACCTTCCATGGCTCGCTGCTTCCCAGCCTGCCTGTCAGGGCCTCCATACGCTGGCCCCCAGCCTACCCTGCCAACCTGCTCCGTAGCCCCCTCCAGAACACACTATTCACTGCAGTCAGATCAGTCTCCTTGCTATCCCTTCCACACACCATGAATGCATCTTCTTGGACACTGTTCTCTTTCCACCATCCTCACTCATCTCTTTCTTCCTTGCACTTTTACTGTCTATACCCTTTATTGGGTACTTAGAACTTTCATTTTTAGATTAGCCATCTCATTAGCATAAAAAACACCCAACTCCCTTAGCTAATGCAATTAGCAACTCTTTTGCAACCTTTAGTCTTAGAGAGCTGCTTGGGATACTGAGAGGTCAAATAATTTGCGCAGGATCACACAGTCAAATTTGTCTAAAACAAGCCTGGAACCTGGGTCTTCCTGACTGGAGGCAGGCACTCTATTCATTATACCATACTTCCTTTCACTCAGCACCTTGTAAATTATGTCTCAACTCTCTTTCCCTTTAAGGAAGGGATTACATTTCCTCCTGCATCCCAAGGAACATCTGCCACAGGACTGGGCGTACAGAAGGCTCTCAGTTTAAATTCACTTAAGTAATTATTAAATTAATTAAAGGGATGGACTTAAATTAAAGGGATCTTCTACTCCATTACCCTCCCCTCCTCACTTTGTGGGACCTACTGGAAATCAGAGAGGCTTAGAATCAGTTTCTTCTCTTCGTAGGATGCCTGAATGACAGTCACAACATCCTGGGGAGAAAAATCCAAAGACTCAGGTCCTGTCTGTGTCTGCATCCCACATTTGATGGTTAACACTCAAATTCCAGGCCCACAAGCATCATTTCTCCCCCCCGCCCAGTCCCCACCCCACTTAATAGTATTTTATTTTTTCCAATTACATGTAAAGATAATTTTCAAGATTTTGAGTTCCAAATTTTTTTCTCCCTCCCTACTCTCCCTCCTCCCCAAGATGACAAGCAATCTGATATAGGTTATACATGTACAATCCTATTACACATATTTCCACATTAGTCATGTTGTGACAGAAGAATCAGAACAAAAGGGAAAAACTGTGGGAAATAAAAAAAAGAAAATAGCGTGCTTCGACCACAAGAACATTTTGCCAAGGGTTTCCTTCATTCTTCTTCTGTCTCTGGAAAGATCCTGGGGCTTTTTCAGAGCCAAACACTCTCCCTCTACTCACTGATCTGCCTTCATCTCATTGACAATAGTCCTTATTTAGCTCCTTGTCCCTTACAGAAGACCGAGCTATATAGAGCAGCCTCTGACTCGTCCATTGTCTCAGGGGTGGGTTATAGGATTTTTAGAGCCAAGGCGCCTTAGATGGCAATAGCTGATATTTACATGATACTTTAACATTGTCAAATGTCATTATCTCATTTGAACTAAACATCATTTAGTCTAAGCCTCTCATATTATGGATTAGACTCAGAGATAGGGAATGACTTGGCCAGGATCACTCAGGTATTGAGCAAATGTTCTGAATCATTTTTATAATATGGATCCCTTTGGCTGTCTAGTGAAGCCTATGGGCACTTTCTCAGAATAATTTTTTTTAACATATAAAATAAAATGCATAGAATTACAAAAGAAACTAATTACACTGAAATAATGTTATCAAAATATATTTTTTAAAAGTTCATGACCCCAGGTTAAGAATCCCTACTAAAAAGAATAATTTAGAGAGAAGGATGTCCCAGGGATCTTGCGAATGCTTTTCCAAATCCTACATTTTATCAAATATTCTCCTCTTTGTCTCAAGTAGAGTGCAAGCTCTCAGAGTAGAGACTCATTTTTACCTTTGTAAGTTCATTGCCTATTACATAGTAGGTACTTAACAAATGTTTCTTGCTTGATTATCCTAGCTCAGAGCTGGCTACATTGAAGACGTGGCTGACACAATCATAGCTGTACAAGCAAAAATACAGACTGAACCAGCTATGGAGCAGGGGGTTTCAGGTTTCTTCTGGGTCCTTCCTTTCTGATGGGATGGGTACTTTCTGTCCTGGTAGTGGTTGTCTTGAGTTGCCTCATAAGCAACCAAATGTTTAAAGATAGATAAGAAGGTTATGGAACTAAGTGCTCTAGGGAAAGGAATCATAATATTACTATTATGGCCTCTAGCACATTGGGTGAACCCCTTGTGATGAACTTAAGGAAGGATAGGATGGGCAGACATGGATGGGTTATGATCTGCATTATTGGGAGGGGACTCCCAAATGAAGTAGATCTGTTTCATTCAATTAATTCATTAAATAAACATTTAAGTGCCTACTATGTGCTAGATTCTAAGTGCTAGGGATACAAAAAGAGGCAAAAGACTGCCCTCGAGGAGTTTACAATCTAATGGGGGAGATAATATGCAAACAAATCTTAACAAAGCAAGTTTGGGTATTTAAGTATAAAAAGTGACATTTATATAGTGCTTTAATTTTTGCAAAGGGCTTTACATAGGTAGCAAGGGAAATCAATTTGTAATGAACAAAAATAAGCACCAGCTACTGGTAGGTGCAGGGCATTCTAGTACACAGAGAATGAAAAGGTCTCAACTTGAAAGGAACTGACATTCGAATTGGGGAGACAATATGGAGATGTCAATATATGCAGAATTGACCCACCTTCTGCCAGAGCAGTGAGGGACTTAAAATGCAGAGTGGGACATACATTTTTGGACATGACCAATGTAGGAATTTGATTTGCTAGACTAGGCACATTTGTTAGAAGGATTTTCTTTTTTTTTTCTTTTTTATTATTGTTCAGTTGGGGTAAGGGAGGGAAGAGGGAGGAAGAGAATATAAATACTCGTAAAAAATAAAAATAGAAGAATGAACTTGGGGGGAAATGTACATATATACACATATGTATGTGTATGTGTATATGTATGTATATATATAAATACAAATATGTATATATATATAAATGTAAATATATATATATATATATATATATATATAGTGAATCAATGTAAACTTATACTAAGTACCTAAATACAAGGTAGTTTGGGAAAGGTAGTTATCATTGTGTTACAAAGAAAGAAACCAGAGGGAAAAGGGCTTGCCCAGGTCACATGGCTCATTAGTAGCAGAGCTAGGATCAGAACCCTGGTCTCTGGATTCCCTGTCCAGTGCTCTTTGCATATCGCACTTGGGACAAAAGCCAAGGGAGAAAACCTTTGGCTTGGGCACATCCGATATGAGCAGTCTCTTGGCACCCAGGGCAACCCCAGAGCTCGGGTTACTTTCTACAGGCAGAAGGTGTGTGTGCTAATGGTATTGTACTTACCTAGGGCAGGGGGAGTTAGGCCTGGACTCTCAGAATTAGAGAGGGGAGTCAAGGATGTTTGCAACTGAAACCGGGGCCCAAGGCTACAATCTGGTGACATCTGGGAACCAGAATGTATCGCACCCACCTCTTCAAAAGAGAATGCCACAGTAGGAGCCTGGTCCTGGTGCAGGAGTTGGATTTCCACACTTACAGAGGACTTCACTACAGTACCCTCCAGCGTGCAGGTTATGAGGGGGGCAGTCAGGCTTTGAACCACCACCTGAGAGTCACTGATGGAGGAAATCTGAAAAATCTGCAAGAGACATGAGCCCCACCCCCACCCCCACGCCAGAGACAGAGGTCAGGAGCCTGGAAGGGTTGATACCCCTGCTCTTCCAGGACAGAGATAAGAACCTTTATTTAGCAACAGCTAGTTGGGCTCTATGATTGATAGTATATAGAATAAACTGTATGACTGATGTACTAGATTTCTTGCTGTTCTTGTACATGACACTTCATTGTCCAATTCTGTGCCTTTTCACTTGCTGTCTTTTGTGGCTAGAAGGTTCTCCTTTCTCACTTCCAAATCCTAGCTTCCTTGGCCCCTTTCAAGATTCAGTTCAAATCTGACCTCTTGCAAGACTTTCATGGCATCTTTCCCACCTCATCAGTCCTTATCCCCTACCCTTGCCCAGTGCTATTACTTCCCATTTACACTCTATATATCTTGTATATTTATAAAAGTTGTTTACATATTGTGTATATTATGTACATATAGATAATAATTATTATAACTAGCATTTATATAGCACCTACTATGTGCTGTGTACTGTGCTAAGCACTTTATGGATATTATCTCATTTTATCTTCACAACAAGAATGGAAGGTAGATGCTATTATTATCCCCTTTTTACAGATGGAGAGATTGAGGCAAACAGAGGTTAAGTGACTTGCCCGAGATTACACAAGTAGTAAGTTTCTGAGGCTGTGTTTACACGTTGTCTTTGCCATTCGAATGTGAATTCCTCGAGAACAGGGACCATGTTTTTGCTGTGATTTGTGGACCAGAACTTGGCACAGTGCCTGGCACATAGTAAGTTCTTCATAAATGCTTTTTGACTAATACACACACAGGCTTTTAGGGTACCTGCTGCGGTGGTAATTGGTGTCTTTCACTAAGGACTAGATCTCCTTAGCAGCCCTGCCTTGATGGTACCTCTGATCTCATCAGTACTCAGAGGATTGACAGAGCCAGAGCTGGACATCCTGGCATTTGGGACAGATTCATTTGAGGGAGGCTAGAATTCATGATGTGGGCAATCAGCTCTCAGCCTGCCCATCCTGGAAGGGGCTGCTATGCTACCCCTTCCCCCAGACTGAATGTGGAACAGAGAAGCATGTTCCCTACCCTGGAACATGTCTCTGGAGGATTCAAGGTCTTAGAATGCTCTTATTCCTGAGAAGAATGTGCTAAGAGGCCTCTGAAATAAAATGAGCTTCAGAGAAATATATCCTTTCTTTTAAAGAAGGCGGAGCCCTAAAGAGCCTTTCTCATATGGTTGGAAAGTGATCAAGAGGACTACACCCTTGCCCACCACTGGTGCCTAAGTAGCCCAGGAGCTGACTCCACCCTCTGCCTGAGGTGGCATGCAATCTGAATAAGCAGCATCTCTTTATCAGACCATATTCTCAGCTGTTCCTTGTGCCAACACTGATCTGCCAGGGCCCTGGTATCTGCCTTCTCTTTCCCTCCTTGGATAGAGGGAAACCACATGATAGAAACATGCTTTGCCCAAATGTCAGTGCCCTGGTTTAAAGGACCAAGCACCCCACCCTAGTTACAGCTTTGATGGCAGTCAGAAAATAATGATATTAAGTGACACATATGTGTATATATATATGCATGTACATATCTATATCTATATAATACTTTAAGGTTTGAAATTTATTTCACATACATTATTTCTTCTGAGGTAACTAATGAGTCTAAAAGGGATAGGACTCATGATCTGGGCCTTATCAGCCCTGGGCTCTGGCTCACTGGTTTAATCACTTGATTAAAATGATCATGACATGGCCAATGTAGAAATATGTTTTACTTAACTATGCACATTTGTTACAAGTGTCTTGTTTTTCATGTCTTTTTTTTTCCCAATGAGGAGAGGAGGTGGCAAGGAGAGAAAATAGATTTTTGCTAATTGAAAAAAAAAAGGGAACTAAAAATACAAATGGCCTGAAAAAAAACCCAAAACTTGACAACCACGTACTCTGAGCCCTTGAAGACCCCTGGTTCCAGAAAAAATTTGTTTTTGAGTGACTGTGAGTTGGGTTCCAAAGAAGATGTGGGTGTTCTTGGCAAGGTTTGCCCTAGGAAAGGCAGTTAGCTAATTAGCTTCCTGGCTGCCTCTGCACAACCTGCTAGTACTGGGCAGACACCCATTAATAACAATACTGTTAATTTTCAAAAGGAGGAAGCTAGGTGACGCAGTGTACCAATAGAGTACGTGGCCTAGAGTCAGGAATTCAAATGTGGCCTCAGACACATACTAGCTCTGTGACCTTGGGAAAGTTATTTAACCTTATTTGCCTCAGTTTCCTCATCTGTAAAATGAGCTAGAGAAGGAAATGGCAAACCACTGCAGTATTCTTGCTAAGAAAACCCCCCAAACGGGCCACAAAGAGTCAGAAACAACTGAACAACAACAATAAATTGTCAATTATCCACAATTGGATTACCTACTTTATGAATTCTGTTATTGCCAATAATCCCCCCCAAGCTGGCTCCATTTAATTCTCTAGCATGTTCCTGCCTCTCATCAGTGGGTTTATAAGTAACTTAAGTTGCCCAAAATTAGAGAGGTAAATCAATAGCCAAAGAAAAATTCCTAATGTAACCAAAACTAAATAGAAATGGCTAGGATTGTGCATCATTTGGAATCCTCTGCATTTCCCAGTGCCTGGCTAGCACTGCATCCAAGATACTGAAAAAAAATGCTTGTTCATTGATTGATTGATTGCAGTGGAAATTTGGATGGTGGGTGGAAGGGTTATTAACTCAAAGTAATTTCACCTGACTTTGAAAGATGGTAAGCAATCCAGAGTCATATAAACAACTTTAGGGGATCCACTCTTTAGGGGAGGGTCTGAGGCTGCAGGGCCCTCTGTCATCCCCATGGAATAGGTTTTCTCTACCCTGACCTAGCCCAACCATGGGGATGAGGGAATAAAGGGAGTTCCTAGGACTAGCCCTGGAGTGGGATGTATCACATGGTTTTAAAGATCTCCAAATCCACCCCCCCCCAATACACCCCATCAAATAGTGAAGTTACCTTCTGCAAGATGCCTTGGGTGGTATCCAGGCCTTTGTTCTCCAGCAACGCCTACAAAATAGAATAGAATGTGGATGGGAGGGGATGTCTTGGGGAGGAAGCAGTCTGATGGAAAGAGCATTTGTAAGGAATTACTTTCTTAAACCCAGGAACTATATGAACACAATTACGAAACACTTTTTACATAAATAAAGTCAGATCTAAATAATTGGAAAAACATCAGTTGCTTACGGGTAGGTCAAGCTAATATAATAAAAATGACAATTCTACCTAAGCTAATTTACTTATTCAGTGCCATACCAATCAAACTACCAAAAGATTATTTTATAGAGTTAGAAAAAATAATAACAAGATTCATTTGGAATAACAAAAAGTCCAGAATATCAAGGGAACTAATGAAAAGAAATGCAGAGGAAGGTGGCCTAGCCATTCCAGACCTTAAATTGTATTATAAAGTAGCAATCATCAAAACTGCTGGGTACTGGCTAAGAAATAGAGTGGTGGGGGCAGCTAGGTGGCGCAGTGGATAGATCACCGGCCTTGAAGTCAGGAGGACCTGAGTCCAAATCCGACCTCAGACCAAACACTTGACACTTACTAGCTGTGTGACCCTGGGCAAGTCACTTAACCGCAATTGCCTTAAAAAAAAAAAAGAAAAAGAGTGATGGATCAGTGGAATAGGGTTAAGTATGCAAGACAGTAGTCAGTGACTATAGTAATCTATTATTTGATAAACCCAAAGATCCCAGCTTCTGGGATAAGAACTCACTCTTTGACAAAATCTGCTGGGAAAACTGGAAAAGACTATGGCAGAAACTAGGCATAGATCAAAATCTCACAACATATACCAAAATAAAGTCAAAATGGATTCATGATTCAGACATAAAGGCTGATACTGTAAGCAAACTGGGAGAGCAAGTTATAGTTATAGTAATATATGCATTTAGTCTTTCAAAAAACACTTCTTGTCTTTTGACTTCTTGCAAGGACGGAGCAACGTGCTTGGCATGCTATCGACAACCTGAGTCCCTTGTGGTTTCTTCTTGCTCTTTTGGTGCTGTTCCCTCTGTTTAGGAGGGCCTTGAGCCATTTTTTGGTTTGCAGCTTTCAGCAAACTGTTGAAAGGCAGAAACACCAAGATAGGCTGCCTAATTTTCATGATAAGTATGGCACCCCGATATTGCTAAGTGGAGCCACTTTCTGTCTTGCCATTTGGGCACATGCAGCGACACAAATTGGAATCGAATGGAACCTGTCCCCTGTTGGCAGAGTTGTCCCAAAAGATTGGAGAAGCCAGTAAAAGGAGAAATTCCTTTTCATCAAAGCTGGCATCATTCTGGATTGTTCCAAAATTAACATATGAAGTAAAGGTAGTCTGTTATCAACTGTAACGTGGCATTATTAATGTAATAAAATGCACTTGAAATCTTAAAAAAAAAAACACTTCTTAAGTGCCTTGTATTTACCAGGCCCTGCACTAGGTACTGGGAATACTCAGACAAAAATGAAACAGTCTCTGGGGGCAGCTAGGTGGTGCAGAGGATAGAGAATGTGTCCTGGAGTTAGGAGGACCTGAGTTCAAATCTGGCCTCAGTCACTTGACACTTACTAACTGTGTGACCCTTGGCAAGTCACTTAACCCCATTGCCTACCAAAAAAACTAAACAAAAAACTAAACCAAAAGAAAAAAAAAAGAAGAAGAAAGGAAACAGTCTCTGCCTTCAAGGAGCTTGCATTCTATTAGGGGAAAACAATATATATTTAGAAAATAGGCACAAAATATATATTAAGTCCAAAGAGCTTACATTCTATTAGGGGAAAACTCTTTCTCCATATGTAAATATATATATATATATATATATGTATGTATAATTGTGTATATATACATATATACACACATATGTATGTATGTGTATACATATATATGTATGTGTACATATAGAGAGAAAGAGAGAAAAAATAAACAAAATATATATTAAATGACTTCGTAGGGAGCATTAGCAACTTAGGGGATCAAGAAAGGCTTCCTGTAAGAGGAGGGACTTGAGCTGAATTTTGAAAGAAGCTAGAGATTTTCTGGTGTTGAAGAAGGAGTGCATCCTGGTAATAGGGGACAGTCTGTGCAAAGGCATGGAGATTGGAGTTTTAATTTTGAGCTTGAGACGCCTCTGGTATACCCAACTGGAGACGTCCAATAGACAATTGGTGATACAGGATCAGAGTTCAGGAGAGGTCCTGAAGCTGGCTGCCTGCATAGATCTGGAAGTTGTCTGCATGGAGGAGAGAGTTGGACCAGTGGGAGCAGATGAGATTCCCCCAAGAGTGTGTAGAGAAAGAAGAGAAGAGGGCTCCAAACAGAACACTGGAATACACCCATATATGGGGTGGGGGAGGCGTAGTGGGGAGGGAGATGAGGACGAAGATGATGCTCTAGCAAAGGAGTCTGAAAAGGACTCAGACAGGTAGAGACAGAGAGAGCTGTGTAAGGAAAACCAGGGAAGACGAGCGTGTCGAGGAGAAGATAGTCAATAATATCAAATGTTGCTCCTGAATCCAGTGATTAATAGATCTTTGGTAACCTTGGAGAGAATGGTTTCAGCTGGGTGGTGGGGAGGGAAGCCAGATTGCAAGGGGCTGAGAAGTGAGTGGGAGGTGTGAGAAAGTGGAGGCAACGACTGTAGGAAGCTTTTTCTAAGAGTTTGGATGTAAAAAGGAAGAGAAAGGCAGGACGGGAGCTTGAGAGGACAGTTGGATCATATAAAGGGGCTTCTGTGGGGTTAGGGAAGCATCTTTATAAGCAACAGGGAAGGAGGCCCTAGATAAGGAGAGATTGGAAATCAGGGACAGAGAGGAAATAATAGAAAGGAAAACTCCTGGATGAAATAGGGATCAAGCACATAAGTGGAGGGGTTGGATTGGCAGGGGGAAGGGCCACCTCTTTAACCTGAGATTGGAACAAAGAAGAATTAAGTGAGGAGGGGCTAATGTAGAGATAGACTGAGCCTAGAGGTGAAGAGAAGAGAGAGCTTATGGTACATGGTCTCATTTTTTTTTTAGTGAAATTATAATAGCGGTATTAACAATTAATTCACCTTTCTCTAGTACTTTAAGACTCACAAAATTCTTTCTTCACAACAACCCTGTGAGGGGTTAGAAATATTGTAACCTGCATTTTTTACGGACAAAGTAATGCAGATAGAGAGAAGTGAAGGAACTTCTCCAAGGTCACTCAGCTATTTAAGCATTAGAACCAGGATTTGAACATAGATTTCTCTTAACTCCAGATCCAGTGCTTTTTCTACAATACTATGCTTCCTAGGAGTGGAAAGAACCCAGAACTAGAAGTCAGAAACCTGAATTCCAGTCACCCAACTTCTCTGTGGCTTAGTTTCATCATCTGTAAAATAGGTTCAATAATCCTTGCCCCACCTCCCATTGTCCTTCTCTGGACCCTTTCCAGATTATTGAAGTCCTTCCTAAAACACTGTGACTAGAATTGACCAAAGTATTAGAGATATGGTCTACCAATGCAGTGAATAGAGTGCTGAACCTGGAATTAAGAAGACCTGGGGTTAATTCAAATCTGGCCTTAGACGCTTACTAGCTGTGTGACCCTGGGTGAGTCACTTAGTCTCTGTCTGCCTCAGTTTCCTCATCTTCAAAATGGGATAATACTAATACCTTCCTACTAGAGTTGTTGTGAGGAAAAATGATATATTATTAATAAATGCTAGCTGTTGCTGCTACTGTGACTATCGCTACTATTACTACTACTACCACTACCACTGCTACTATTACTACAACCACTACTGAAGAGTACAGAAGTATTATGACCTCATTAATTCAGACACCACCAATATTACTCAATTTTTGCAGCCCAAGATTGCATTAGCTTCTTAAATGGAAAATATATATATATATGTATGTATGTATGTATGTATGTATGCATATTTGCTTTTTTGGCTGCTGCGTCATACTGTGGATTCCTTTTGATCTTGCATTCCACTGAAACTCCCAGCTCTTTTTCAGATAAACTGCTCTCTGGCCATGCCTCACCTCTCATATTTGTGAAGTTTGTTTTTTTGAACCCAAGTATAAGACTAGTCTTGCTAAATTTCACCTTCTTACACTTGGCCCAGCATTCTAGACTATCAAGGTCATTTTGAATCTTGACACTGTCATCCGATAAGTTAGAGCTATATCTCCCAGCTTTACTTCAATGGCAAATTTGGGAGGTATTCCATCTATGGCTTTACTTAAATCATTGATAAAAATGTTCAACAGGGCAGAGCCAAGCTCAGGTACATGTCTTTGTACAGCTACAGTGGGTGGCCCTTTTGAAAGCTGGTGTGAGGGGGACCTCAGATCAGAGGACAATCATTTCATATCAGAAGTCTTAAGGATCAAGGGAAAGGACTGGCCCTATGATTTCATTGATACAGGCAACACTCAGGAGGAAAAATTCTTCTACCAAAGCAGGCCAACACCTTTCCAATTTACAGCCTTAAAAAATTGCCCAGAGCCCTGAGAGATCAGGCTGCTTGCCCAATGAATATGTGTTAGAGGCATGACTCAACCTAGCTCTGTGGCTAATACTCTAACCACTATTCGCCACTGTCTTTCAGGGTCTTACAACATATAATTATTAATCCTTAAGGAGATTTTGTTTGAGCTGGGTTTTTATCTGAATGGCCACTTATTGGGACTGTTGCAGGAGAGATTTACGTTCAAGGACAGCTGGTTGAGGTACTTTGAAGGTCCCTTCCAACCCTGAGATTCGATGATTCTAGAATAAGATATTATTCTATCCAAATATTCTATCTGAAGCCAATTAGAGTGCCTGCAAGTTTTTCCACAGCTATCATTCTCAATTCGGGCATAGGTGGGTGTTATACCTTCCCCCAGACACAGAAGCCCATCCCTTCTGACCTTGAACTCATCTCCTGTCAGGGTCAACATTAGTCTCTTGTCCAGGAAGGCTGCCTTTGCCAGGGAGCTCAAGACTTTATCAGAAAACCAAAAGTACAGCATTCGGGAGTCACCCAGGAGGTTTGGGGTGTAGGTAGAGTCCTGAAAGCTTGAGGACTGGTTCTTGTAGGTCAGGAAACCCTAGAGAAAAAAATCAGAGGAAGGTGAGAGAATTCCAGAACTTTGTTTTGTCAAATTATTGGCAACTGTTTAGTAGATTCACCAATCTTCCTATTCACTGGACAATGTTAATTCTCTCTGTCCTCCAGCATGTCATATACCCTCTGTGCCTTGACATTAGTTGTCTCACACGCAAAGAACAGAGATTGGTTTTAATGTCAGCAGCATGGCCATTTTCACTGTTCAGCAGTGAGAAGATTTAGATTTAGAATACCTTGGTTCAAACCTACTGCTACTCACTACCTTGTGACCTTGGGCAAGCTGCTTTACCTCTCTGGTCCTCAGTTTTGTCATCTGCAAAGCAGGTAAGGGCAGTGGACTAGATGACTCCAGAAGTTCCTTCCAGCACTAAATCTATGACCCTGTGATCAGCCCAGAGAAGTCAGAGAAAATTACACAGGGCGATCTTCTGTCTTGCTCAAATCTTATCATGTATCCCCAAACCCCAGAAACAAATATTATCCTCCAAGAAAGATATCTGTAGGGTCAGAATCAGAGTCACAGAATTTTAGAGTTTAGAAGGGACCTCATTAGCCATTTTGTCCAACCCATAATTCAAAAAGAATCCTTACCTCAGTATACCCACTAAACAGGCATCCAATCTCTACTTAAGACTTTCAACGAGGTCCTCATCCACCACTTCCTGAGGCAGCCCTTTCCGCTTTGGGAAAAACCCTCATTGTTAGGATGCTTTTACTCACTACCAACTTAAATTTGTTCTTTGCTAGCTTCTCCCTATAGCTACTGGATTATCCTATGCCAGAGTTTCCCCCCACCCCTCAAACGCCCCTCCCCCTTAGCATGGCTAGTCAATTGGTTGGACTTGACTTGCAGATGGAGAAGGAGTTTGACCTCTGCCCTAATTCAGTGGTGATAGTTAAGAAACAAATCGGGCAGAGGCTGTAGGAAGACTTTGGACAGCTGTTCCCAAGAGAACTCTTACTGAGCTCCAAAACAGACATCGGGAAAGAGCCCTACAGAGTGTAAAGCAAGTGTGGTCTTTGGCCACAAACTGGGTTCCATGGGAAGGGGCCTAGGTGTGTATCATAGGATTTAGAGTTGGAAGGCACCTTATAAATAATCCATTCCAGCTCTTTCACTTTATAAATGAGGACTAGAGAAATGAAATGAATGGCCCAAGGTCTCATGTATAGCAAACTGCAGTAACAGGATTGGAAGCCAGGTTGTCTGACTTCAAATGTAGTGCTCTTTCCATTAAATCCAATTTTCTCCCTGGATGCTATTGGCTTAAGAGATATCCAGTGGGAGTTCAGAATGATGAATGAGGAGAGTGGGGGTAGAATAAAGAATTCTGGTTTATCCTAGGCCCAGCCCCTTCAGAAACCCCACCTATAAATGTCTTCCCTGACTCATTCCAACCTTGTGATGTGACTCCAGGTAGCTGCCTTTGATTACTGGGGTTCTGGTCAGGGAGATGTCCACACCAATGTCTCCATCTGTGAGGAAGTTGGCTGAAAGGAGGAAAATCAGGAGCTAGCTTAAGAATCCTAAATGCCCCTCTTGGCATTTTCTTCTCTACCTCAACTATATCTACCCCTACCCCAGCCATTACATATAGAAGCATGGGGAGGCGACAGGACTGTGGGATTTGGAGACCTGGTCTCAAGACACCAAGATTCTATCCCCATTTCAATTATGATTTAGGGAGAAAAATGACCTCATTTTTGGCCTCAGATATCACCTACATTCCCCTTTTTCCTACCCCAACAAAATGTATCCAGGTCAGGACCTGTTTTTCCCCGTGGGTAAAGGGGCATTTGATTAGAGGGGGAATAAAATTTACATTGTCTGCACTTTCCCCAGTGATTAAGGAGGGTGTGGCGATGGCCAGTGTGGATTTTTCCTTTCTCAAAACAGTCTCCCTCCAAACTTCCCAGTCCTTGTCCATGGTACTAGCATTCTCCCAGTCACTCAGGCTCAGAATCTTGGGATCCTGTTTAATTCTTCCCTCTCTTCACACCTCTGTATTTTGTTAAAGCCCAAGCATGACAAGCCATGAGTCATTTCCCTAGATCCCCAGGTTTTGGGTTTTTTTTTGGTTTTTTTTTTTTTGGTGGGGGGGGAGGAAATGCATGAAGGCCCACTCAAGGCCCAGCTTATATCTTCCCTTCTCTATGAAGTCTCTCCTTGCTCTATTTCTCACTGAGCTCTCCTGTTTCTGGACTTCTGAAGCACTTATAGTCTGTATCCCTCACTGACAACTGACCAATGACATCTGTCTTGTTTCATAAGTTAATTTTCCCCCATTGAGGGAAAGGATTATGTCTTATACTTAGGACCAAAGATCTAGCTCTGGAAGATACCTCACAGAGATCATCTGGTCTAATCTTTTTATTTTATGGAGAGTGAAAATAAAGTCCAGAGAGGTTAAGTACTTTGCACCAAATCACCCAGGCAGTATTCTTAGCAGCCCTAATGCCTAGCACAGCACTGGTCACAGAATAGATCTTTCACAGATATTTGCTGCTATTGCTAATGATAACAAGAAAGGTCTAGCTCAAATCCTTATCCACCTCAGCCTGCAGGTATCTCTCTTTCTAACCTCCTATAGCTGTTATTATCTGTGCCTCTTCCATGATATTTACATATCCTACACTGATCCTTGGGTGATTCTTGTACTCTTTTTTTTGTGTGTGTGAGGCAAATGGGGTTAAGTGACTTGCCCAGGGTCACACAGTTAGTAAGTGTCAAGTGGTGTCTGGTCTGAGACAGGATTTGAACTCAGGTCCTCCTGACTCCAGGACTGGTGCTCTATCCACTGTGCCACCTAACTGCCCCAATTCTTGCACTCTTTAACTAGATAGGGGCACTATCTTTTTTAGCCCCTCATTGTATCTAGGACTGCTACCAATCTGCATAATGGCTATTTGGTAATACTTACTGACTTAATTTGAATAAGAATCTTCAGTGCAAGAGAGAGCATTTTCTGGAACCAGAGCCACACTAGCATGAGGCAGGTGAGGCTTTCCCCACAAGCAACAACAAGGGGGTAGGGGGTGTCCTTCTTCATGAATGGGCATGCTTTCATGATTCGTTCCAAAGACAGCTAGAGTCCTTATGCTTTGCCTTGTGCCTTCCCTAGAGGAAGAGGGCACAATGCGCTTTAGGACTCTCTGGGGGAGAGGCAATTCCTTCCTAGCAGTGTGACTGCTCTGGATACTCTCATGCTACTGCCCACCATTTTGTTGGATTGTGTTGGGTACCACCACAGCCACCTCCCCCCATCAGGCTGTCCTCTGTCCTACAATCTCCCTTCCCTTTTCCCCACCAATGAATTTGCCCTAGGTATAATCTCTCATAGTTACAACTCTATCTGGAAGTCTCCAAACCTACTACCAGAGCACAGAGGCAGAAATTAATTCAATCTATATCTAAGTGGCAAAGTGGATAAAGTGCTGAGCCTGGAATCAGGAAAACCTGTATTCAAATCCAGCCTCAGATACTTACTAGCTGTGTGACTTTGGGCAACCCACTTAATCTCTGTTTGCCTTAGTTTCTTCAAAATATGGGGACAATAATAGCATCTACCTCCCAGGATTGTTTTGAGGATCAAGTGAGATAATCTTTGTAAAATACTTACATGCCTGTCACATAGTAGTTGCTATATAAATGCTAGCTAATTACTATTGCTACTGCTACTATTACCACCACCACTACTACTACTACTACTACTACTACTACTACTACCACTACTACGACCACCACCACCACAATTAAACTGCTATCTCTGTGGTTCAGAAGTTCAGTCACTTAGGTCCTCCAGGTAACACTCAGAAGGCCCGGATACCATCCTTTGACCTACTAGTTGGGCTACTTGGCACAAATCCCTGGAGCACTCCATTAGAGTCCTCCTGCCAAGCTGATACAGACCCACTAATGACTCTTCTTTGGATCTAGCCATTCAACTGGTTTTAAATCCATTCAATTGAACTACTGCTTAGCATATCTCTTTCCAGATACAAATCCTATGATCAATTATTTGTGAAGAAAGAAGATGCAAAAGGTCAGAAGGAAAACAGAAGGAGGGTTTAAAAGAAGCCACATTTTACCTGCTTTGTCCTGGACAAAATTGGCCATGATGTTGGCAAGAACACTGATTTCCTTACATACCTGAGGAATGAGAGGCAAGAGACAAAGGGAGATTTAGGGGGTGCAGACTGGAGAAAGGGCTTCTTTCAAATCCCTGGTGTCATCATAGCTGACTGAATCCTCCCTCCCTTTTAGGTCTCAGACCCATCAGGTACTTCCACTACCCGGCAATGAGATGTGGGTCAAACCAAGTGAACCCAAGGAACAAGTATGAGGAGTCAGCCCTATTCCTTCAGAGGCCAATAGCATCTGTATTCAGGGACCTGGAGGAATCTGCTCTGTGGGCCCTTTTTCAAAGTGAAGGAACATCAATGGCCCAAATCACCTGACACTGTGCTCCATAGCCTAGTGTCTAGGGACAGAGCCTTGTCAGCTCAAAGGAGGGCATTCTGGTGAAGGATCATCTTGCCTCTATAGAAAACTCCTTACCTGCCCTTTCAGGATCAACTTCAAAGTGAAAGAGATGAAGTCTGTAAACAGTTTTTCAATCCAGCCTGGTCTGTTGGATGTAGAAAAGCATCTGGTTTTTAATTCATTCACAGTAGGAGGAAATCCTCCAATTATGTCTCCGGTCAGAGTCATAACTCAAGTGGAGTAACTAGGGCTTTGACCCAGGCACTGAAATCTAAGGAAGCATTCCTGCATGCTACAGTCTGGAGACTAGCCTCATCTAGAGGTTCTCCACCAGTATCATTGGGGTTAAAGGGAAAGATTACCCAGGGTTAAGGATCACTAGTGGTGGAAATTTGGTGAGAATAGTAATAACCACCAGTGTATGAGCAGGGTGATATATAGAGGGATGGGGTAAATTGGAAGTATCAGTGAGAAGCAAGGCCCATGTCTACTCTTCCTCCTCCTGGCTCACTATGTCTGGAGCCATGAAAGAAGGTAATATAGTACTGAGATGGGAAGAATAGCCAGGAATGGGTGTCTTCTTGGGGAAACTAGGTTTACATGAAAGCAAATAGATGAAAGAGAGTGGGAAGAAAGACAAAGGGCAGTTTGTAATCAATGGAACAGGTGACAATGAAATGGAAAGGTAGAGCAGCATAGGGGCTCCAGAGATGCTGAACTGAGGGGAAGGGGCCTGAAGGAACAAGGAATGATAGCAGGAAAAGGGAGTTTTGCTTATGCAGCCTATAACTCACATCAAAGGGATCTGAAGAGAAAAAGAATCCACAAGCCCTTTCTAGACCTTCTTCAACTGAATTTTCACTAGATGCCGAATTCCTGCTTATAGCTCTTACAAATCCTATGTAAGATCATAGATTTAGAGCTAGAAAGGACTCCTGAGGCCATCTGGTCTAGCTTCCTCATTTTACAGGTGAGGAAACAGTTTCAGAGAGGTGGTGACTTACCCAAAGTTATACAGATAACATGTGGCAGGACTTTTGACTCCAAAGCCAGTGTTCTTTCCACTTTAACACCACTGGGGCCCTGATCCTAAAAAGCTCTATCTATATGCAATCACATGATTACATGAAATATATGACTGTAACATGGCTCTACGTGAGTCCACAACTATACTATGTCTATATATATTGTGTGTAGATAATTATATATATATATATAGTGTGTGTGTATATATATATATATATATATATGTTGTCTACACGTAGTTGTAGACTCACGTAGACCCATGTCTATGTGGGTCACACATATGCATATATATAATTTTTTTTTAAAATGAGAGTAAGGAGGGACCTCAGCACCCAGAATATCAGAGCTGGGAAGGACCTCAGAACACAGGATGTCAGAGGGGTGTCAGGACACAGGATATCAGAGTGGGGGGGGGGCTCAGCACCCAGAATATCAGAGCTGGAAAAGACCTTAGAACACGGGATGTCAGAGGGGTGTTAGGACATAGGATATCAGAATGGGGGGAGGCTCCAGACACAGAATGGCAGAGCTGGTTCCTGGGGTGAGGGAAGCACTTACTGTTTTTCTCCATGAAGACGCAGGAGCAGCTTGTGGAAAGACAAAGAGCAGTCGGAGGTGTCTGCCTGCACACGCCCTGCATTGCAATCTGTTCTCCAAAAATAAGCCCCAGTTATAAAGAGCCTAGGCCAGCAGGGGGAGCCAAAGCACTGCCTCTCTAGGCCATGGCAGCTCACCAGCTGGGCAATGGATTTGGGTGACGTAGGGGGTAGCACATGTGCCCTGTGTGCAGTCTCTCCCTTCCTGGGATGGGAGTAAGGGCCCACTGAGATTGCAAAGGAAGAGCTGATCCTTTGTGCTCATTATGTGACAATTCCATGTTTCACAACAACCCTATGATCAAGGTTAGACCTTATTCCCACATGACTGATAAGGAAAGTGAAATGACTAACTCAGGGTTACCTAGCTAGCAAGTGATAGAGCTGAGGACAGAACCCAGGTGTCCCAATTCCCAAGTTCACCCCCAAGGAGCTGCTTCAGACTCCTAGGGCTGAGTAAATTCCAGATGCCAAGACCAGACCCATGGGAGAGGTGCAAGGCCCAAGTCACAAGGCATGGCTCAGTACTGTGCTTACTTACTCAGCTGGGTATTGATCTGGAGGTCAAGTGAAGCGTCAATTTCAAAGTCAACAGACCGATGAACTTCCAGTCTAACAAGGAAGATTAATAAGGAAAGTTAAGACACTAAAACACACTTCTCTGGCTCCATGGCACCAGAAGACTCAGCCCTTCTCAGCTTAAAGGACCCGGGGGGTCCACTCTACCACCAACCTCCTTCACCACAGCAAAGCAATGCATTCCTGGCAGGAGAAATTCTGAATGACAAACTCTAAGTCCCCATGAGCTCCTATTATAAAACAGGAGATATGGCACAGGACCCAAGGAGTGGGAGACCTGCCAAATGTGCGACCCTTAGCAAGCTAACTGAGCTGAGCTGCAGGGACTCCAGAGCTGATCAGTCAGAGATCACATCAGATCCTTGCAGAGGTGTAACTGGCAGAGAGTGTCTAGGGCTTTGTCCTGTGGTACAGACAGCTAGAGAGGGCACTTCCCTCTGAGGCAGTGTGGGGAAGAAGTAAGTGCGAGAGCACACACACACACACACACACACACACACACACACACGCCCCTCAAAGGTCTGAATCCTACAGACATACCCTGCATCCAGCTTTAGCAGACTGCCTTCACACTGCCTGGTTTGGGAGCCACGCTATAGGGCGCACCAGGAAGCAATGGCAAAGGCAGTATGCACTCACCTTGGGACGTCCCAGGGTCTATGTCTCCCCTCCACTCTGAATTTGTCCCAGGTTCTAGAATTCCCTGACATAGCCAGGAATCTTTTCTCCAAATCCTTTAAGTTTGAATTTTCAAGTAATATAATTTATTTCCATCTATATCCTTGCCATGCTTCTGGGATTTGGTATAAAGAATTGTTGTAAAACGAAGAATACCCACAGAGAAGCTTTAAGCATTACCTGGGACAACTGGAGACAACTGATTGCTCAACTGAAAACGCTCTTCTACAAGGTATTTGCCTGAAGGTATGTGGGATTATGGAACCCAGGCCATCAGAGAAGAAAGGTACCTTGGAGAGAATCTAGGGCCATTGGTTTCCAAAGTGGGTGATACTGCCAGCTAGGGGGCGCTGGAATGACCCAGGGAGGCAGTAGCTGCCTCCAGTGCCATTGGGGGAGGGGGTGCGCATTAAATAAAAATAAAGGGGAGGTAGAAGCATAAGGAAAGAGAAGAAAATTTTGAAAAAGCATTCATACACGTTTCATCTGTTGTTTAACAGAGTTAAACTCACGGTGATTCCATTATTTTCCAAATAAACACACAAAATACAAGTTATAACTGACCAGTGGTCAAGTCCGACAACAGGTCTTAACAAGCAAGTGTTGGCAGGTAGGCAAATGTGTCATGCATTGTTGGGAAGTCCAGCATGCATCGGCAGGAATTTGTGCGTGTAATAACTTGTTTACAATACGATACTATATAATTATATGATATAATATTGCATCATCAAAATTTCAATGCAGGAAAAATTCCCACAAATTTACAATAAATTATTAAATTTAAGATGCATCTTTTTTTAAATTATATATATATATTTGCTTTTTGGTGAGGCAATTGGGGTTAAGTGACTTGCCCAGAGTCACACAGCTAGTAAGTATTATGTGTCTGAGGACAGATTTGAATTCAGGTCCTCCTGAATCCAGGGCCGGTGCTCTATCCACTACACCACCTAGCTGCCCCTAAATTGTATTTTTTTTTGAAATGACACAAATTAAAAAACAAAACATTAAAGGGTTAAAGAAAGTAGATTTCCAGGGGAATACAGATTAATTTTTTTAAAAGGGGGCAGTAGGCCAAATAAGTTTGGGAACCTCTGATCTAGACCAATAGCCCCAATTTGCAGATGAAAAAACTGAGGCCTACAGGAGAGAAATGCCTTGCTCAACCTCATGCAGCAAGTTGGAACTCAGTCAATCAATAAATATTTATTAAGCACCTACTATGTGCCAGACACAATGCTATGCTACATGCTAGGAGTATAAAGACAGTCCCTGCCATCAAGGAGTTAGGTCTCTTAGCTCAAGAAAGCACTTGAAAGGATACTTACAACCATCTCCCATTGTAGTCATATTGGAGGGTCCCTTTGAAGATCACAGACACATTCTGAATTGCAATGTCTATGCTCTTATCTTTCTTCAGCTCCGCTTGGCTGCTGAAGATGGACAGGTTGCTGATCTGAATGCTGGGAGAGGAAACAGAGATCAGACCTTGTGCCGTTGGGCATGGGGGTGAAACAGGCTCCAGAGCAGAAACAGAGCAGAAGAGGCGTCCCCAGTCACCACTACTCACTAACTACTACTTACACTACTATTACCCTAGTGTAAGCACTAGGGACTGAAATGTCATTTGCACCAGGAACTTCCCTCCACTGGAAATTGGAGGAAGATTTCCTCCAATGCCAGTAGGCACCTGCTCTGTAATGTATGGTCTTAGGAGATTTTATTTTCCCGGGGTCATGTAGGAAGATGAGTAATTGGGAGAACTTGAACCCAGGTCTTCCTAGCTTTGAGGCCAGCTCTTTATCCATTAAGCCACTCTTAGAACATGGAATGTCAGAGGGAAAAGAGACCTCCAATATCATCTCGACCCCAATTCTCTCATTGGAGAGTTGGGAAATGGGCTCACAGAGTTACTAAGGTCAAAACATCAAACATTTCCATGTAGATACATGAATACTGAGATGTATTTATTATTAATTCTTTTTCGAGCAGACCTCTAATTTCATTGGGATAGGGGACATACCATGAGGAAATTTTCTCCCCCCAGGTAGACAGTCAATTATTCTGTAACTCAGTCTTTGAGAAGTGCCAGGGATAACAAGAACTTAACTTATCCAGAGTCACAGAGCCAGCATGTGTCAAAGAAGGGACCTAAACCTGGCTTTTTCTGGCTTTCTCTGGCTTTTTCTGGTTCCAAGGCCAGCTCTCTATTCACTATACTATTCTGCCTTTCATAAATCAATAAGTTTTACCTAATTAAACTATGAGGCAAATGTAATGGTTCACATTGAATGTGCTTATGATGCATTAGTTTGAATAAAAATGCCATGTATTTATACAGTGCTACAAAATGTTTCCCCTTGCTTTCAGAGCTGTGACTTCATGCAGGTGGGGATATTTGCTTGATTAGAGTGTAACACCCCATGTCTAGACAGGATGGTGTGTCTAGGAGGGCTTCTTCTCCAGTGCAGTGAGAACAGGGAGAAAGTGGTCAGAAAACCTAGCTTGTAGTCTGGCTGTGCCCCTGACTCTATGTGATCTTGGGCAAGTGACTCCCAGGCTGTCCTTTTCCCACAATCTTGGCCCTGAATGTATATGATAGGGAATGAGAAATGGGAAAGAGGGCAAAGAGTAACCTGGTTTTTCACCAAGCCCCTAGACTCACTTGTATAGGCCATAGTTGACTTTGCCCAGGAACAATATAACTCTCTCTCCCTTGATGTCAGGATACGTGGCACGCTGGAATGCCTTCTGAATCATTTGCGTGGTTTCTTGGTTCACTAGAAATGGAAGTAAATGTGACCATGAGACTTCCTATGGCACCCCTCAAACACCTACATTTAAATCCTTTGCTAAAAATTTCTATGGGTTTAAGAAGGTTGCCAAAGTGATAGGATTGACCTTTAATCCTAGCAATATAGAATGATATCTAACTTTGATGATAGCCTGAGCATCTGATTTTTACCACAGGCTAACCTGTCTTACCTTGGTCATAGTTGTTCAGTTGTTTTAGCTGTATCTGATGCTCTGTGACCCCATTTGGAGTTTTCTTGGCAGAGATACTGGAGTGGTTTGTCATTTCCTTCTCCAGCTCATTTTACAGATGAGGAAACTGAGGCAACAGGGTTAAATTGACTTGCCCAAGGTCATACATACATAATAAGTATCTGAGGCCAGATATTAACTCAGGAAGATGTGTCTTCCTGGCTCCAGGCCATTGTGCCACCCAGCTGCCCCTAGTCATAGACTTGCTCCCAAACCTTGGCCATAAATAGCTCTCCTAAAACTGGATATAAGGTGATCTAGGGGTCATTGGTGTAATATTTTCCCTCTTGGGGCAAGTTTCCCCTCCTGGTTCTGCTTGTCCGTGGTTGGTAACAAAGTGAGTCTGAATTTTCTAAGCATACACTTGCTAGCATCTGCCAGTGATGCAAGGGAGGCCAGGTGGGGGTAGTCAAGTTGAAATTAAAATAGCTGCCTGGGATAAGCCAAGTGTGGCTAATGGAGAGTTATTGTGGTATAATTTGGGGTCTACACCACAAACCTGAAGAGGACTGATACGCTTAAGACCCACCTCCACCCCCCATTCTGTTTGTATGTCTTAATCCATGCATAAAAATCCATCTTTGAAATGGGCTCACATGTTAGCAGTCAGTTTGGCTGAGAAGAGGAAGAAAAGCCAACATGTCCCTCCTGGGCGGGCTGCTCAGCTCAGAGGGTCAGAGGGCTTGTCCCAACTCTGAAGAGCACCACTTCTTCCCCAGGGAGGGACCCGCAGTTGAAACTTACACACCAAGATGGCTGGTCTGGTGATCCTGCATACGATGCCAGTCTGGGAGGAGGATGACTGCCCTTTGCAAGCCTCAGTGGTGCCCAGCAGGGCCAGTGAGAGAAGAACAGTCACCAGCATGGTTCTTGGGGCCCAGGGGAGAGAGTGGTTAGCTGTCCAGAGCCTCCAGTGATTCTTATACTCCAGAAGACAGGAGGCAGGACTGACGTGACTTCCCCCCCTCCCTATGGGGCAGGGTGTGTAAGGGAGCAGTACTGGTTTCCTTAATAGCTGGGCCACTTCCTAAAAATGTCAGTCTTTATCCCCTAGAGAATGAAAGCCCCTCATCCTGCTGACTACAAAGCACAAATTCAGATAAGGTTCCCACAGTGGGCTTAGTGTGGATAAACCACCAGAGCCCGAAAGAAAAATACCCAACTACCAGGCCAGGGTAGAGGGTCAGGGACTTAGGGCTACTAGGAATGTCTGTCTATCTTCCCCTCAGAAACCTCAGTTGCTCTAAAGGAACACCACCAAGGCCACTCTCCAGGGCAGGACAATATCTATTGGAGAGAGGAGGAACCCGGGTGGGACGTGTCAGAGTCTGCTGGCCCCCTATCTAATCACTTCCTCTTTCCCCTCATTGTTCCCAAGGACCTTTTATCCCTGGTACAATGCTTGGCCTTCGAGAACATTCCTATCCTCTTTTTAGGTCTATTATTCCCTCAGTCTTCCTTATCAGCCCCTGAAGATTATTCCTTCCTTTCTGATGTAATCTGGCCTTGGGTTTCCTCAGCTCTACGCTTGGATGGAAGAATATTTATAATAATGGCTTACCAATACCCAAGATTCTGATCCCGTCTCTCAAGGCCCAGTTTAAAGCCCAAGGAAGCTCCAAGCCTTCCCTGGACAAGCCTCTAGCTTGTGTCTGCTTCTCCACCTCCTCTGAACTGCAGACGAATCAGCCACTGTTTTTTGTTGTTGTTCGTTGTTGTTTTTCAGTCATGTCCAACTCTTTGTGATCCCATTTGGGGTTTTCTTGGCAAAGCCTGGAGTGGTTTGCCATTTCCTTCTCCAGCTGACTTTATAGACGAGGAAACTGAGGCAAACAGGGTTAAATGACTTGCCCAGGGTCACACAGCTAGTAAGTGTCTGAGGCCAGATTTTAATTCAGGAAGATGAGTCTTCCAGATTCCAGGCCCAGCACTCTGTCCACTGTGCCACCTCGCTGCTCTAAACAACCACCTTAGAGAAACTATGGTTGCTCTAAGCAACCATGCAATACAAATATTCGATGCATATTTATTAAGTGCTTATTTTGTGCAGAGCGCTATATGAAGCACTGTCAGCATCTCATTGAAAAGCAGGGACCTCATAAGTCATCAACCATACTGAATAGGAATCTCCTCTATATTACAGTGGGATAAAGGCCTGGTTTCAAATGCTACCTTTGACCATTACTACCTGTGTGACCGAGAGCAAGTAACTTCACCTCCTTGGGCCTTAGTTTCCACATCCACAAAATGAGGGGGTTGGGATGGGTGCCTTCCAAGGTCCTTTCCAGCTTCTAGTACTTGAAGACCTCTAGAAACAGAGAGCTCACTACTACTTGAGGCAGCCAACTGCACTTTTGGATGGCTAAATCGTTAGGTATGTTTTGCCCGTGTTGTTCAGTTGTTTCAGTCATGTCTGACTCTTTGTGACCCCATTTGGGGTTTTCTTGGCAAAGATACTACAGTGGGTTGTCATTTCCTTCTCCAGCTCACTTTAGAGATGAGGAAACTGAGGCAAAAGGGTCGCACAGCTAGTAAGTATCTAAGGCCAGATTTGAACTCAGGAGGATGAGTCTTCCTGACTCCAGGCCCAGCACTCTATCCACTACACCATCTGGCTGCCCCAAATTTCCCCCTACAGTACCTAAATTTATACCTGCCACTTAGTTCTGCCTGGAGGCCAAGCAAAATGGGTCAAACTCCTCTTCCCAGCAGCATTTCAAATATTTGAAGACAGCGTACTTAAGTCTGGTCTTCCCCAGGCTAAAAATCTCCAGTTCCTTTGATGGCCCCTTATAGGACATGGTCTCCAATTTCTTTGCCCCCTTTGTTGCCCTCCTCAGGAATCACTCTAGCTTGTCAATAGGAAAGGAACAGGACCAGATCTGTGATTTCATTGGTGAAGGGAACTCCAGGCTGGACAAAGTCTTATTGTGGGTCACTACCTTCTATGTAACTTGTAGTCATAGAGAGTAGCCTAGAACATTGAGAAGTTAAGTGACTTACCCAAGGTCACACAGCCAGTCTGTGTCAGAAGCAGGACATAGTCTTCTTGTCTCAAGGCTAGCTGTCTTTCCTGGTATGATAATGTCTTCTTTCCTATAATACGATACACAAAACCAAACAGAATATTTCAGATATGCTCTGTAAAGGAAAGAAGAATACAGTGATATTTTTATCTCCCTTGTATATAACACAAGGTGTCTACTAATGTGGCCTAGGATCAAATGAGCTTTTTTTATTTAAGCTCCGTATCACATTTGTCACTAATATTGAGTTTGTAGTCTATTTAAACCCCAAGACATCAGCCAGTATCTGACTAAGCTAAGCCTCCCCCATCCTCTACAGTTGCTCTAGTAAATCCCAGTGGAAAGTTTTACATTTATCCACAGTAGACGTCTTTATCTATAAGGTTAGTCCCCCTGTTCTAGACTACTGAAGTTGGTAGGATACCATTTCTGTCAGCCATCATAACCACTCACCTTCTTCATTTTCATGACATTCCCGTGATCTGTCCATGGGGATGAGGCTAGCCCGGCCTGTTCCGTCCTTGATAAACATAGGCTGGCTGTTTGTGATGATCATTTCTTTCTCTAAATATTTACAGCCGTCACTTTTAATCACTTGTTCTAGAATTCTGCCAACTGAAGTCGACCTCATGGGCTACAACCTTCAAACAGCAAAGTATACTGTCAAAAATAGGTATCCAAGCCACTAATTTCTTTCTAACCCTGATGCCCAGCTATTCCAAATTTAGTAGCAATTTCTTTGTAAATATACACAAATACATACATGTCTATATCAATATTAATATGATACATATATGTACATGTTTATGTATAATAGATTTACATATTATTTACATAATAATTGCATCTTCATATTTACACATACACAATTTATATGTATTACTATATGCATAATACACATATGTAAACAAATATATTTACACAAATATTATATAAACATATATATCAGTATCAACATATATATAAAATATCTAATATATTTTTGTGTGTGTTATATAGATGTGGATATCTACATAGACATAAAATATATAAAATGTGTATGTATATGTTAGAGCCCTGTACTACTTTGGGTATGTTATACTAAGGCTGCTGTTTCTAACACAATTGTAGACTATCAACTACCTTTTCAAACAATGACATATTTTAGTAAATCCACATTTGGATTTCCACCATCAAGAAATCTTCCTCTGAAATTCTCCATGTGTGATTTCTAAAACAAAAGAATACCTCTTTAAATCTAGCCTTCCTAAGCTCACAGACTTAATTAAATTTGGAGTCATACATTCCTTTACCTGACCACAATCTTTTGTCATTCCATTTCTCCCTATACCTCAATGCTCCTAAACTTATTCTTTATTCTCATTGAGATCTCCAATCTCTCCATCCCTCAATACATTCTCTGACCATTAACCCTACTTTGATTTTACTTTCTTCCTCTTCAAGTATCAACCCTATAGTCAGCCATTTCAACTCCACACTGTTCTATTATCACTCACCTCTTGCCAATATTCAGCCTTGAACTACTCCCATCATCTATTTCCTCTACTCCTACTCATCAGATGCTAAATGGATCTGGAGGAAGTTTCATAACTATGTACGTTATAAATTCATATTACTCAACAGGGTACTCACTGCAGCAAGGCAGTCCTTGTATTCTTCCCCTAAGTGATTTCCTAGCTTACTCCCCATGAAAGCTATTCTAAACTTTCTCTTTCCTCCCTCTTTCAGCTGAAGACCATGCCTCTTACTTCACCAAAAAAACCGAGATGATACACTTTAAGTTCCCTCTTCTCCAAATTTCTTCTTCTCAGAATCCCTTGACACCATACTCTTTATCTCTTCTTTTCCCCATGTCGACAACAGAGATGGCCCTTCTTGACAAGGTCATCTCCTCTAGACCCGCGTGTTTGATTCCTTTCCCTCCCATCTTCTCAAATAGATTAAAACTTCAATCACCCCCTGTCTCTGTCTTTGTCTGTCGCTTTCCCATCTTTGTGTCTCTGCGTCTGTCTGTCTCTGTCACACACACACACACACACACACACACACACACACACACACACACATACACACACACACTCCTTCAAGTTCTCCCTAGCTACTAGTTCCTTTCCTGCTGCCTTCATAATAGCATTTATGTAGCTCTTTAAGGTTTGCAAAGCACTTCACATATAGTTCGAACATGTCCAAGTTTCCTCCATTCTTAAAAAAACTTCACTAGACGCAACTGTGCCCTTAAGTTATTATGCTATATCTCTACTCACTTTCTTAAATTCCTAGGGGGAAAAAACTCTCTATATTCATTGCTTCCATTTTACCCCTCATTCATTCTTCAATTCTTTGCATTTGGCTTCTGACCTAATGACTTAACTGAAGCTACTTTCTCCAAAGTTCCCAAATCTATTTTTTCCCCCTCATTCTTCATCTTTCTCAACCTATAGCACTCCCACCCCGACCCCAGACACTTTCTTCTCTCTGGGCTTTCATGGCACTTCCCTCCCCCGATTCCCCTCCCTGTCTTACTGCTTCTTCTCGGTCTCCTTTGCTGGCCCATCATTCACATCATGCTTCCTAACTGTGGATGCTCCTCAAGGTTCTGTCCTAGGCCCTCTTTTCCCTCTCTGTCTGTCTCTCCTCTCTGATTTTCTAACTTCATTAGTTCACATAGGTTTAAGTTTCATCTCAGAGATCTCTATATCCAAACCCAGGCTCTCCCCTGGGCTTCTGTTCAACATCACTAGTTGACTTCTGGGCGTTTCAAATACCCCAGGAACATATTGAACCCAACATGTTCAAAATTGAACTTATCTTTTCTCCAAAACTCTTCTCTCTTCCAAACTTCACTATTTCTGTTGAAGGTATCACCATCCTTCCAACCCTTCACGTTCACAATTGCAGCGTTTTCCTCAAGTCTCCATTCTCATACCT